GCGCATTGAACTTCATGGGTTCTCCGATGCATCGGAAGCAGCCTATGGGGCTTGCGTATACTTACGATCGATCGATACTCAAGGAAGGATTACAATTCGGCTTTTATGCGCAAAGTCAAAGGTCGCGCCATTGAAAACAATCTGTGTTCCTCGACTGGAACTTCTCGCAGCTCTTCTGCTAGCAAAACTGGTTAAGCTAGTAATGGATACGCTATCATTAATCATTTAAGCCCGCTTTTATTGGTGCGATTCAGAAATTGTTCTAGCATAGATATATGGCGAATCTTATCAACGCAAAACCTTCGTTGCCAATCAGATCACGGAGTTCCATCAATTAACAGAAAAGGACATGTGGCATCATGTAAAATCGGAGGACAATCCAGGAGGGTGAACCCAAGTCAACTGAAACATCTCCGTCTCTGGTGGGAGGGACCTGAGTGGTTGTGCGATCCTGCGGAGCATCTTCACGAAATGATTTCCCCGGTAATCGGCGAGATTCCAGAGACCAAAGCATCCAGCACCACGTTCACGCAAATCTTCGAAGATAACGATATATTCAGTCGGTTTTCATCTCTTTCTAGACTGAAGCGAGTTATTGCATATTGCTTACGTTGGAAAGAACCAATCAAATCAAGTACTACGCGACAGATACGACCATTGAGCGTCAACGAACTGGATCAAGCGATGCGGCTGATCATCAAGTTAGTACAAGCACATTGTTTTCCACGTGAAATCCACGATCTAACTATTGAGCAACGTGTTCGAGATGACAGTCGGTTACTGACACTGCATCCCTTTCTGGACGAGGATGGAATCATCCGAGTGGAAGGACGATTGAGGAACGCACAAATCGAGTATTTGCGTCACCCAATTGTCTTGCCTTCTAATCATCACGTCACCCATCTTATTATTCGCGATGAGCACTGTAGAAATTTGCATCTTGGTGCACAGGCTTTACTTTCTACATTACAAGAGTCCTATTGGATCTTATCTGCTAGGTCAACTATCAGAAAGATTTTGCATAAATGTATTATTTGCTTCAGAGCCAGGCCGCATGCTGCACGACACCTTATGGGTGAGTTACCGGCACATCGCGTAACGTATACTCGCGCGTTTGTAAACGTAGGCGTTGATTACGGAGGCCCGTTCAACTTAAAACTTTCGCGTAACAAAACTTGTAAAGCGTACGTTTGTGTTTTCGTATGTATGTCTACCAAAGCAATACATATCGAATTAGTTTCCGATCTAAGCACTCCGGCATTTCTTAATGCACTTAAGCGATTTATTGCGCGGCACGGCAAGTGTGCACATATCTATTCCGACAACGGTAGTAATTTTAAGGGCGCTAAAAATGAGTTAGCGGCGTTTTACGATCTAATCACGACATCCGATCATCAAGAGGTTATCGAGCGACATTGTTCAGATCACGCCATACAATGGCATTTCATTCTTCCATACTCTCCCCATATGGGCGGTTTGTGGGAGGCCGGCATAAAATCTATCAAAACGCATATGCGGCGTATACTCGGCGAAGCTCTATTAACGTTTAAGGAGATGTACACTATTCTTACTCAAATAGAGTCAGTATTAAACTCGCGACCGCTTACTCCGATTTCGAGCGATCCAACGGATCTGCGTGCATTAACCCCAGGACATTTCCTGATCGGTGAACCTCTTAACGCCATTCCACAGAAGAACTTTGTTGAAACTCCTTCCAATCGTCTTACGCGTTTCCAATATCTCACTAAATTTGTTCAAACGTTTTGGACTCGTTGGTCCACAGAATATTTGTCTAATCTCCAACAGAGATTCAAATGAAATCGCGAAAGTTTCCCCGATCAAGGTAGGTACATTGGTGCTATTGCGAGATAATAATGCACCCTCGATGCAATGGGCATTAGGGCGTGAAACTGAATGTCACGAAAGCAGCGATGGAAAAGTCAGAGTCGTAAGTGTAAAGAGTGCGAAAAGCATAGTGCAACGTACTGTAGCGAAATTGTATTTTACCTATTGATGTATAAATTTCTATTTGTTTGTATTCACGCGCAGCAATAAGATTAGCATAAGTCCTAAGAGTACAAATACTTGTAATATCTCGTTGTTGAGAATCTCACGCTCGAAAAATGAAAGCGAGCGTTGGGAATATTCGAGAACGCTCGATTTGCTCCAAAACGCGTTTATTTGCCTTCCCCCCGGTTTTTTTGTGTTTTCGCTCGCGCCCGGACCACAGGTGTACATCGCGTGATCGCTCGTACTGCGACCAATAGTCTGGCCGCTCGACGATTTGGAGCCAATCAGCGTTTCTCATGTCTCGAAATTCCTCGCGGAAAAGTTCGGAGCTCCGGCCGCGATCGTTACGCTTGCTCCGGCCGGGAGCTCAGTGAACCATCATAAATCGTACGCGACACTTGCGTTTGTCGACATCGAGAATACGGAGTCAAACCGTAGCGAGTACGAAAGTGCGATATAGCGAGTGCGATATTACCACGCGAATATTCTGACATTGTAACCAGCTTTGAATAAAGTGACTCTCGTTTTAAACAAGATACTGACTATTTTTTGTGCTCTCCTCGGCGCGGCGCGTGAAAACATCGAGCGGTCCACTAACACTCGTTGAAAGCCAAGTCTTTCAAGGCGGGCGATATGTTAGTAGGTGGCTGCACGTAGAGATGTCGCGTAGGAGAGTAAAGTAAGATGGCGGGCGAAGAGAAGTCACGTTTGTGCGCGCTCGTCATAAGAAATTTATATTCCGTTTAAGTATAACGTAATAAAACATATCAAGCATAATATTGTTACGTAATTCTCGCACCCATCACAAAACGGGTGCGTACAATTATAGCGATCGCGCGTTTTGAGTGCCGCTAACGACGTTCGACATTCATTGTTTGGCTGTGTAAGCGTGAGGCGTGAGGTTCAGTGTGAGCGTGCAGGCCGTGCAGAAGAATCTGAACCGAGTTTTGTGAGTATACACATCGTTAATGAGTAATTGTAAGTCTTACATGTATATATATCTAATGTGTTGTAAATTGTTGCAGTATAGATAAGAAGAAACGCGACGGCCTCAACGGTGATGTCGACGACGGCCTCAATGACCACCCCGGCAGCGATGACGATCGTAACGGCCCCGGCGGCCCAGGCGGCGACGACGGTTCCGACGGCCCTAGCGGCCCCAACGGTGACGACGGCCTCGGCGGCCCCGGCGACGACGATAGCTTCCGCGGTGACAACGGCCTCGACGGTCCCGGCGGCGACGACGGTTCCGGTGATCCCGACGGTGACGACGGCGACCGAGCCAATCGTATTAACCGTAAGTATAAAAATTAATAAATTTCATATTTAAAATCTTAAACGACCGCACACATCGCATGTGTGACAGCGACCGACAGTATTCATACAATAAATAGCGAAATTTTTTGTTGTCTCACTTTTACGTTTACCTACAAAAGCATGATGTTTTAATATAGCATATTTATCTTTTGTTCCAGCCGGAAAGTTTACAGCAGATTATAAGGGCTGCTGTCCTCGAGGTGCAGCGAGGAAGAGGGAGAGGAAGATGGAGAGGGAGAGGTAGAGGAAGAGGAAGAGGCAGAGGCCGTGGAAGAGCCAGAGGTGGAGTAAGTACCACAACCAGTGGTACAAAGGGGATACAAATTTACTATTATCAGAAATAAAAAACAGATTACTTGTATATATATTGTGACGTTGCGGCGCGGCCCGCCGCTTCGTGGCAGCGCCCCGCTGCTCACAAAGCGCGGAATTTCGCGCCCACGGACAAGCCAGACTCTGGCTGCCAGAGAGGCGACGACGAGATTTTCAGGGGCCAAATATTCATATCGTTTCCGCAATTTGATTATTTATTTTATTTTTATGTAATCGTAATACGCGCGGTGCCTCACCCACACCACGGCGAATCTTCGAGGGAGTACCAGTAACGGAAAGGTCCGGGAGGACCAAGGACCGAGAAGGGGTGACGAGAGCGGGAACCATTGAGATCACGGGCGGCGACGCACAGGGAAATTTTGTTGAAACTTTGTGAATTTAGGCATCTCCTATAACCCTCTACTCACCTTCAAAAAATTAGCTTGTCAATCCGTTTTGCCATTTTCAGACCTAATTTTACTGGCCTACAATCGAAAAGCTCAATTAACATCAAATTGTTCGACTATCTCTATATATTGTATATATAAAGTACACTAGACGTTACTGTAGTATACCTTCTTTTCTTTAATCTAATCAAAACGCTGATTACTAGCAATATTTTTTATAAAATTTTTAAGAATGTGAAACAAGTACATCTCGGGTGTCCTCTAGTATTTTAATGTAAATGTTTGATTATTATATATATAGAAGAGACCGAGGCTAAACCGTCAGTTTTTTTCGGTGTCGATTTTTAACAAAAAATAAATTTTAGTTAAATGTGGTATACCACTGTAAAGAGTGAACCTTTAGCTACAAAATTTATATAGGAATTTTTTGTTTATGTCGCTTTGTTTAACCGGTATAGAGCAAAAACGACAACGGTGGAAAAATTGAAATCTCAAAAATGTCGGAGTATAACCGTCACCTCCTGGGGCAAATCCGTCACACTGCATTTTCAGTACATATCCGTACATCTAATCCTGAAAATGATAGGATACATTTCAATAATTGTTTTTTAAAAGAAAAATATAAAAATTTATTTAAAATTTTTATGCAAAACATTAAAAAAATAATTGTTTTACCTATTCCATAAAACAATTTAGGCACGTGAATACAGATTCTGACATGCGCACGCATGTGTTGTGTGCCCTACGCTCGCACGCAATGCACTGTTTCCCATATGCTCTGTTTATTGTCAACTTCTCTGAGCACACGTAGCACGTATTATCCAAGTCTTCGTCAGAATCCGACTTACTGACGGATTAGCCCAAACACAAGGTTTGATCGACCACGAAATATTAGACATCAACGATAATAAAAAAAACTACACTGGATTCGTGTTCAGCATGCATTACTCTTTATAATCACGTACCTCGAGATTTTAAGAGCAAATATTATTGCGGATATTACAAAATTTCCAAACGCAGAAAATTTCACTTTCACCTTCCGAAAACACGTTTGTTCTCGTAAAAATCATAACACGGCAGGTAACTTGCCGAAGTTCCGTTGAAGCAGCGTTAATAGCGAGTTCGCACAATATACAGGTTCCGAGATATTTGATTTGACAGTTTTACCCCGTAGACGTTTTAGCCCCGGTCTCCCCTACCAGATATAATCATATATAATTATATCTAATCATTTTTTCTTGGGCTGGCTCGTTTGCAGTTTCTGAAGTATTTTCAGTTACTATAATACTCAGTCCTATTACTCGTGCCTGAGCGTGGTGACTTCTCTTCATACACATGTGTTGCGCACGTGGATTATACACATTGTATGTGGAACCTACAGTTTAACGCCGATTTCGAACGGCAATTTTTTAGAGA